TTTTTTATTTTTTTTTTTATTTTTTTTTTTATTTTTTGTAAATGTAAGATCACGCGTTTAAATTCAATTTTATTGCAACTTTAAATAGAATTTTGTATAAAAAGTAAAAAGAGAATTCAATTTGAAAAGTGCATCTGCGAATTGGACGATTTATATGTCAGGCTATTGTATTTCACTTGGTTCTATAATTAATATGGTTTTCTTTTTGTTACAGGTGATCATCGTTGGATTTAACAACAAACCTTTGAGATTTTTTTCTATTTTAGTTCGTAAAATTGTTTCATTTTTGAATATATATGTATAATGGCATTTCTGAAGGCACACATATTTTTTCACTAAATATGAAATATATATATTTAAAAGTCCATAATAAATATAACAGTGTATATTTGCACAGGTTTACATGGATTTTAAATATATTTTTCAACAAAATGTTTATTTAATTTAACATATCTGTTTCATGTTTCAGACTTTTATGGATCTACTTGTTTTTTATTTTTTTTATTTTTATAATATTTATGACAGGCATCTCAAAAGGATGTGATTTTTTATTGCTTTTTTCTATGATACTAGAAAAAATGTAGGATATTCGAAAAATCTTTGGTACTATACTTGATGGGAATGTTTTTTTCTAATAAACTTTTACATTGATTATGTTTTTTAATAATAAGTTTTCTTTCTTCTATCGTTGTTTCCACACGTTTTTGTCCCATTTTTCAACAATAATTTTCGATTTTAAAAAATGGTGAACTCTACTGATACTGATAACGGTTACAAACATACTGACAAGGCCAATTATAACTTGAAAGTAATCACTTTATGTTTTTACATTATGGTTTATGTGCAAACTTTTTTACAAATAGTTTGAAATAAGAATTACTCTTTTTTTATTCTTTATTTTAAATTCGTTTAATTTGCATTAAAAAATAATTGTTAACAAGTTTAAAAAGATAAATCAAATTAAAATTTCTATCGTTCATTTAAAAAGTATAATTATATATCACATGTTTCCGAGCAAATTACCAATCGCGTATATCTTTTTCATTACATTTTATCTCTACCTTTGTCTATCTTTTATCCCATAAAAAAAAAACCATACAAATAAATATAACATGAAAAGGGTGGAAGAATAAGTTGGTGCATTGTCGTCGTGCAAGAAACCATAAGACCTCGACGTCATAGTTGTTTCACGATGTAGTAATAATAGTAATAGTAGTTGTAACACCGGTAGAAAAGATGTTAGAAAATAATAGAAACCGAGAACACACCATAGTTTTTTAAAGAGAGAAGAAAGAGAGAAAGAAGATGGATAGAAGAACAAGAAAAAAAATAAGAAGAAGAGAAAAAGGAAAAAAAAGAATAAGAAAGAGATATAGAAAGAAGACGATGCTAATCCCCTTTTGTATGGAAAACCGAGTGGTCTGTCGAGCACACTGCCGAGGTAGACTTTCGAATAACGTATTCAACTGGTGCAATATACCGTGCAAATATAGTACATCCCGTCTAGACGACACGGTTGCTTTGCCCGAACGAAAAGTTACCTCGTTATTTCGTGAATTTCACTGTTAAGGACCTAGATAGTAATAGAGAGATAGACCAAATGAATGAGAAGGAAATCAACGATGAAATGATATCTCTAATGTAAGTATACCACAGGATTGGATTTCCATGCCTCATACTTTACCTGTCTCACTATCTTTTTCTATCTATTAGAATGAACCAAAAGTTCTTGGCATCTTTTTTCCTTTTATTAATATTGTAAATTTTACAAAAAAAAAAAAAGAAACAATCTATTATGTAGTTTCCAACACAGTTTGTAACATGATAAACGAACGGGTTTTTGATTCACCCTAATTATCGTTTCTTTCATATTTTGTTTTTTTTTTATTTTTATGTTCTTTTATTTTTGAAATGGTAATGAAGCTCTCACCCTCCTCCTATGGGTTAGCGCAACTTTCATATTACGTATTAATACTGACATCGATATTTTATTAAATAATAATTTTTTTCATATTTTGTTCTTTATCGTATCACTTTTTGAGCCAATAATTTAAACGTTGGCTAATTAATTGATTCACGGATATAAAATATTTTATAAATTCGTAGATATTTTATTACAGATATCGATTTTGTATATTTAAAAATTTGTTGAATAGTATTAAAAAAAAAAAAAAAGAGAAAATAAAAACAAATATTAACTCGATAACTAAACATGTAAATTGTTTCATTTTAATGAAATTTAAACAGCTTGTCTCTTCTATATACCGAAGCCTCTTCGATGTCCAATAACTAGCTCGTTAAACGTACTAGGTATCTAGGTAGATGCATAGTAATAATAATAACAAGCTGAAGTTTGGTGTACATAATATCCTCGAACTAGTGCAAACTGCTGTCGAACGACGTTATCTCGACGAGTTTAACGGCGTCGAGGTAATACAATGGTGTTCACTACTTGTCTCTGAAGACTCGTCTATGCTTCAACGTTACCACTTGCTGTTCGTTCTATGGTGTGTGTCACTGGTACATCACGATTTCGATTTCCTACATTCTATATATACATATATACGTTTTCATAAACAGGTGGTTTAAGTTTGGTTTTTATTTTTATTTTTTTTATTTTATATCATAATTTTTTTTTGAACACCTGGTATGTGTACACCATTACAATGTATCATCTGTGCATCTATGAGCATGTATATATCTTATCCTTTCAATTTGATTTAAACTAAACAGATAAATTATGTTTAAGTTTTCTACTTCAGTTAGTTTCAAAGATTACCTATTAAGATAACTTGTATCTATTTAATAGATAGTTTCAAAAGAAATGGATGATTTAAAGTATAAAAAGACTAACTTAACGTGGATTTGTGCGTGTGATCGTAGAGATAAGATAAATAAATCTAGTTTTCTTGTGTATAATATATCATCGATGTAATTTGAGTTTAATGAACCACTTTGATGTGTTCAGGAGACTGGAAAAGTATCAATGTTTAACAGGAGAAAGGGATGGAGAGTGTATGAAAGGCTGAAAGCAATGCAGCTGGTGCCTAAGAGAAAACAATGACAAGTTGAAGCTCTGGCTGCTGTGTGTCAGAGAATAGATAACACGCTTCATCTGCCATGCATTCTGATGTTTCATTAAAAGGTGGCTACACTCGTGGGGAGGACTACATAAAAAACCAGACCTATTTGTCATTCCCCAAAACAAAACGTTTTCATTTAAATTGAGATAAAATGTAAGTTAGTTAGAATCGATCTATCTTACAATTAAATAAACATGCTGAGTTAATAAAATACGTTTCGTCGTTCGCATTGTACATGGTTTTTTACAAAAAGAAAAAAACACAGATAAGTATAATGATAATTAAAAGACATGCAAAATATGAACCATTTAAAAATAGAAAAATTCAAGTTCACATTCCATGTAATTTGCATAATTGAAAAAACAAACTATGATCTCAAAAAGAGGAGTGGGAAGTACTGAGGTAGAAAGGGGGTGGGGGAATAAAAATGCTCTTGAGACGTAACGACGAACCAATTAGCGAATGTAAAGTAATTACGAGACGTGTAATGTTGCTGGTTAACGATAACGTGTACGTGATTTTTGCGAAGAAAAAACTCGTTAATTATATCGTCTAGGTAACATGCATATACTTACATGTGTAAGTACTTACAAGTCTTGTTCAAATATTTCGTTGTAACATTTTCGTCCTGTTCTCTTCATTTGGAGATAAAAAAAAGAATAATATAAATTTGAACTTTATACAGAGGCCAAATGGTTGGACTACATTTTTTTACAAATATGTTAACAAAAATCTGCATAATAATATTTAGAGATGGTACAATATATTTTTCAATATTATACTTATTTAACAAAAAGAAAAAAAGCAGTAGTTTAAAAACAATGTACTTGCGTACTTAATGTAATCAATATTCCCAACTATTTTATTAGTAAAGTTTGAATAACTTTGGCCTCATATTATGCTTTATCACATTATTCAATATCTATTTATATTTATAATATAAGTGTTGTTTTTTGTTGAAAAAATACGTTCATTTATTCTCTATTAATAAAATTATCGTTCTTACAAGTTCAATAACATAAACATATAAATAAATTTTTAACCGAAGAAGGCGTCATCACTGGAACCCTCGGTAGCACAATTTTGTAGTAACGATGCTGGATTCGACATATCGCTGACAACATCTCCGTTATTTCCATTATTACCGGTACTCTCGTTACCATTATCGTTCTGAGATTTTAATGGTTTAACATCTTGCGAATTATCGTAGCTACGAATTTGATGATTTTGCGAATTGATCTCGTTGTAAACAATTTCTTGGATTTTTAACCTGACAAACATTTGTCTATCAAGGGGAAGACTTTTCAATGGATTTTTAACGCTCATTAAAAAGTGATAAGTGTCATCTTCCTCCTCCTGATTGAGAATCAATCTTTTTTGCAATACTTCGTACCTTTTCCTATCCATTTCGGAATAGTCATTGTCCATAGCTTCCATAAGAATTCTTTTCCTTCCTATTTTATTCATTTTAGGTGGTGGCATCACGTGATGCAGACCATCGTCATTTGATAACAAAGATTGACAAGAGTCACCATCGAGATCGTCAAATTGGGTTTCCTCGTGACCCTCAAGTATGTCTATTTGTGGCTCGATCTGTGTACCATCGGGGGATGAACGTAATGCCGTACAATTTTGATTTAGGGCACATCCAATAACCCGAGAATTCATTTGTTCCCTCAAGAAGAATAGGCTCCTAAACCATACCCACTTGGAATCGTGCTCGTTACCACCACTTAAACTCCCATCACATTTTCCACGATAAGTCTTCTTCAACTCGTTCCTAAAGTTATCTCTTAGATGCTTCCATTTCGATTTCGCGACGTCGGCTAAAACAAAATTTGACTATGTAGTTTGGAACTCTGTTTTATTTTATTTTATTTTTTTTTTTTTTTCATTATGAACGCAAGTATTGTTCAATCCATTTGCATTATTACACAATATTTTAAACTCAATTTTGATAATTGTTTTTTAACAAAACATTTGGAGTACATAGTTAAGGGATTATTTGCGCATTTGTTATTTTGTTTATTTTCATCTTTTAAAAAAAGAATGGTGAGGGCTATTAATGATAAAAATAATAATTATGATTATAATAATTGATGCTGACAATACTGAATTCAATTGAGAAAGTTAAAATTATTGACTTTAAATGCACTGAACTTTTACTTTTGTCAGCATAAGATACAAATTATTGAAAAATGATCAATGATAAAGACGTTGTTGTTTCATTACTTTGTTTATTTTTTTTTTCTGATGCAAATGGATTAAAAAATACGAGCATGGTTCCTTATCGAATTGGCCTTTTAAAAGATTACAACTAGTAGGTCGCTCGTTTCGTCATTTTATCAAGCAGTTCGTCTCACTTGAAACTGATCTTTGCTATTTACTATACACATATATACTTACTTATTTACTTTAAACGATTAAGATAAAGTTCAATCGTAAATTCGAATGCGATTATTATTTATTTGTAAGACGTACAAGAGAGAGCAAACTTCTCGTAAATCATTTCTATTCTTAAACCAACTGAAGTATACGCATATATCTTTGTAAATTATTTTCAGAAAATATAAATGAATTTATATATGAGCGTTCATTTGTCAAGTTCAAGATTAATTATATAATTTGATAATGCAATTAAAAATTTCTAAACATGAAGAAAATATTTTTACTCATACATATGCATATATCAATTTCATTGAACTTACTTAGAAAGAAAAAAATGAATATGCTACTGAATATTAAAGAAAAATTGCCAAAATAACCTTCGACAAAGAATGTAATTTTTAAAAGTTGAAAAAAAATATTTAATAAAAGATATCGCGCGTAAAAAATCGAGTCGATTCATTAATGAATCTCAGTGCCATCTACCAACGCGAATCTCAAAGTATCTAGCGCATGAATTCAACGGTGAACAACATCTCTGCGTCGATACGAACGATACCACCCCCGCATACTTTTATCTACAATGAATCGAAACGATCGAGAATGGGTAAGAAAGAGAGAAATAGATAGATAGATAGATGGATAGAGAGAGAGAGAGAGAGAGAGAGATAAAAGATAGCCTAGACATTTGAATTGCCCGCTCGTCGTCAAAAAAGTAAAAGTAGATGAACCGTTGAATTCGTTCTCTGGAGTTGTACGTATACGAGCGTCCTCTACGTAGTTAAATCTCAACCCTTATCCTTTCCTTTACCTAAATCCTCATATACACACACATACACAGCCAGAAACACACTTACATATACTCAGAGAGTGCATACAAACGTAGCACATACCATTCATCTTTCTCACTTTTGAACTCTTGCATCAAAGCATGTGATATATATATATATTTCTCTCTCTCTCTCTATCTCTCTCTCTCTATCTCTCTCTCTCTCTTTCTCTTTTTCTCATTCTCTTTCGTAGTACTCACTGGAAACTTCACAGGCTCTCGCGATCTCCCGCCACATCTTCAGTATGACGTCGCGATTATGATAGTTAACGTTCTTTTGATCCCAGATAGCCGGTCTAGCGTGCACCTCATTGATCAGCCTCTGGAGATCCATTGTCATCGCGTTCCTGCGACCGCTCGTATTGTTACATCTCCTGGCCGATCGTTTGGCCGTTCTTCGATTGAGAAACGTGATGTCGGCGAGTGAAGGTACGGAAGAGGAAGAAGATGCGGCCGCAGAAGCAGCAGCAGTAGAAGCAGTAGCAGCAGCAGTTGAAGAAGCTGCTGCACGAGTGTTGCTGTTATTTCCACCGTTACGCAGTGTCGTTGTCGTAGTAGTGATATTAGTAGTAGTAGTAGGGGATGAGCTGTTTCCTGTATTTCGATGATTCCTCTCGTTCGATCTTTCCCCGCCCACCAATTCCTCGTCTTCTTCTTCTTCCTCGTGATGGCGATTGTTATTGTTGTATTCTTCTTCAACTTCGCCACGGGTTCCACTACCACCACCACCGCCAGTAGCCGTATTATCGTTGTAATCCTCGATTCGTTGCTGCTGACGGTGGTGGTTACTGCTGTAATTACTGTTGTTGTTGTTGTTGTTGTTGTTGTTGTGATTGTGTCGATGGCGGGATGTTCCTTCGTCGTTTCTTCTACCAATCGAAGAAGATCCAGCAGTGGTTGCACTTGTACCACCACCACCACTACCACCGGTGTTTGCGTTATTTCCACTAGGTGATGATAAAAGATTATCCTCGATAAGGATAGACGAATTAGTATGAGTACGGGATGTTGAGGAAGATGAGGATTCGAGGACGGTTTGAAGACCGTCGACTTCGTCAATGTCGTTGTTTTCGTTATTATCGTTGTCGTTGGTGTTGTTGGTTCGTTGTTGACGCCTCCTCCTCTTCCTTTTACGTTTGCTTGATGTTCGGCAGGTGGTAGTGGCAGTAGTGGTAGCGGTGGTGGTGGTTGTAGTAGTGTTAGTAGTATTTCCTGCTGTTCCTCCTGTTCCTGCTGCTGCTGCCGCAGAAGATGAAGATAAACTAGCCGACGAAGAAGAGTTGAGATAACCAAGACGAGCAGAGGAACGTAAACGAGAGCCGGATTCCAGGGCTTGAGCCTTGTCCTCCTCGGTGCGTGCACCATGCGTGACGACGTCCATACACGGCCGGCTAGGAGAGCGTGCGCGCGAATCAGCCGTGATCAGCCGCGATCAGACGCGCACACAAGCTCTATGACGAGAAAGAAATCACACTTCTGCTTCTTCTACTAATTCCAATTCTTATCTCTGTTTGCGTGCCTGCTTGCCTGCCTTCCTCCTTCTTGTCTCGTTTTTCTCTCTTTCTTTCTATCTATCTGTCTTTCGATTACGTCCTCCTCTTATGATCTTGGATACACTTGCTGTGGTCAATGATTGCGCTCCTTTACACTTTTGTTCGTTCGTTCGTTTACTTACTTGCTTGCTTGCCCGTTCGTTTGCTTGCTTACTTGCCCGTTCGTTTGCTTGCTTACTTATTTGCTTACTTGCTTGCTTGCTCGCTCACTCGCTCGCTCGGCTGGACGCGCGCAAGAGGATAGGACGCGCGCGCCTGCTCATGCAGCCTGACACCGGTATATAACCTTCGGCTCAGCTCGGCCCAGCTCGGCACGGCTCGACTTGGCCTTTACGCTACTCTCGGCGCGGCTCGGTTCGGCCCGGCTCGATTCGGTCTCTCTCTCTCTTCTCTCTATACGCTCGAGACTCTCTCCTTACTACTGTCCAACTCTTTCCTCTTCTTAACCCCCTCACCTCGTCTCACCACTTATTACTCCTCTTCCTCTCTCTCTCTCTCTTCCTCTCTTTGAACGATCCTCTTTGTTGTTGTCGTCGTAGTCGTTGTGTCGTTTTTAGATGGTGGCTACTATCGTTGTTGGTTGTGTGTTGGTATTGTTACTTTACTATTGGACAGTGATGAATCTACCCTCTCTCAATGAATACACCTCAACCAACAAACACCAAGGACGCGTCCTCGTCCTTCTCGCTGAACCACTACACTGACTGATCGTTTCCCGAGAAAAGACCCTCTCCTTTTCCTTCCTTCCTTCTAACCAACCAACCAACCTTCTCCCGCACCCTTTTCGTAGTTTCTTTTCTCAGAGCTCCTCATTATTACGATCCTTCTTTCTTTTCCTCCTTCCGTCGACCCTTCCAATTCCACCTTTTCCTCCTCCTCCTCCACCTCCAACTCCTCTTCATGCTACTCCTCCTCTTTTCTTCGTTGCCACCCCCTCTTCCTCTTCCTCCTCCTCCACCTCACCGATATATTATGTTTCTCTACGACAACGAATCATGCTAGCTAGCCTCTCGATTCCGCTTCGAAACGAACATCGCGCCTTCTTCGGCTCGAATCGGCTTCGCTCGGCTTAGTCATTCCTCCAACATCGAACCAACTTGCCTCCTCGAGAGTCCTCTTCCTCCTCCTCCTTTTCCTCCTCCTCCTCCTCCTCCTCCTCCTTTGACCGCAACGATATACATCCAAATTGAAAGTCCTTTTAAATATCATCCTACCTAACTATCGAATCATCATCATTATTTGATTACACGTTTTATCTCCTTTTTTTCGATAGGTCGATTTTTTTTGTTCCCCCTTAGGATTCTCCCCCTTACGTGAAAGAAAGCTATGGTAAATCCCTACCCTCCTATATCCTTTTTCTTTCCCTTTTTTTTCTTTTCTTTCTTTCTTTTCATTTTTCTTCTCCGCTATACAAAAGTAGTCCCGTAAAACGTGGTAGCTCTCTCCCCAGAAACACACGTCGGTACTCGCTCGGCACGGCTCGGCTCGATTCGGTCTTTCGATACGCTTCAACGTTCTTTAGCATTCTCTACAGCAAACTTCTAATCCTCAACCCTAGGTAACCCGCTCGATACCTTTCCTGTTCTGTTCTGTCCTATTCTGTTTTGTCCTTTAAATGAATGAGAAACCTATGGATACTTATATACCTTGCATATACATCTCTATGTATATACATTCTGACTTAGAAGACATAAGTTTCAAAAAGAGAAAAATGTCTTATCTTTAGTTCGAGATAAATGTACTCCTTTGTCAACAAAGTTTACACACCTATTTTTCTTCCCTCTGGATAAACTTTTTTTTGTAGAATAACTTGAATGAACGCTATAGAGAAAAAAGACTCGGTCCCATAAGAGATGATTTATCTCGATGCACCCTATACATTTGTTCAGTTTTTTATTGATTTCTTTTGCTTCTCTAAACATACACCAAAGTGGGATACTCGATAATGTTAAATAAAAGTATCTATGAAATAGTAGCAAAAAGAAAGAAAAAAAAATAATTTATTTATATATTTGTTTTTTATTAATTTGTGGTGTATCTATAATAGATAAGTTAAACGAAGATAAATGTTAAATGTATCTTTGAAACACGTTTATGCTGGTTGTTGTTTGCATACGCATCTTTCCCCATATATACGTATCTATGTACCACCATAATAATCAAACCTAACTTCTAGTAATCTCCTGACGCTCGTCTCATATCAAAATTCGTGCATAGTTGGCAAATACAAAGAGAAATGAAAATCCCTCACGTTTCCCTTCGCTCGTTCTCTTTTGAAAGGTTCGCAACTAATAACGTCCTCCTGTGCTCCGAGATTTTTCCTCGATTCAAAAGCCGTACAGTAAACGGAAACGAAAGATAAAAGAAAAGGAGGAAAAAGAAAATATAAGAAAAGAAGCAAAAAAAATAACAAAAATAATACGATGCAACACGGGACGAATAGGCTGCTATCTAACTTAAAAAAAAAAAAAGAAAAAAAACTAGACGAGAGAACTTTTATCGAGGTATCATCGTTTACTATGCATATGTAGTTTTTCTATTTCACCTTTCATAAAGATAACGTGCACGTGTATGCTTATGTGTATGCGTGTGTGGATTTGCTTTTATGTTTCATCCGAATGGAAATAAGTGTAATACGTGTTTTAAATATTTATGTAATTTTATACCAACTCAATATTATTCCAGTCTATTACAATATTGGATTAAAGTTAAAAAAGAAATTAACAAAAAATTATACAACTAGATGAATATAAAATAATTTAACGAATTAATATTTTGAATAACTTAGTCACGTAACAGGAGAAATAAAAAGATATAAATAAAGCAAGAACAAAATGTAGAACTTGAAAGGAACATTTATCAATGTCCCTTAATAACCATGATCGTCCCTGCACTTTAGTAAGAACATCCAGTGAATAGTTAATATCCTTCCAAATGCATGCTATGCGTTACAGAGTCCTTAGGTATGCAGGTATATCAGGATCGATAATATACTCTGACAATGGGGTTTCTATTGTGCACGAAGAGACAGACATACATGCGATGCTTGTTTACCCTTGTCTGCTTGCGTATTAGCCACGATCGATTACGCGAAACGTAATCATACCAAGCAAAAAATACGAGGATTTATGGACAAACCATAAAAAATTTCTAATACTTTTTTCCAATTATATTTTTATTTTTATTTATTGATATTTGAATTATTTCAGTAATTGAATGATATCTCATCATGAATCATGTATGTATGTATGTATATACATGTATAAAAAACGTGTAATTTTGGTTATTTAATTCGAATTAATTTAATGATTTGTTTTAAGTAAAAATTAGTAAATGTGATTTTGTATTGGAATATATTCTATCTAAATAATGATGTTGATATATTTGATTATGTATGTCTAAACCACACTCGGGTTTGTACGTACACAAACTACAGCAGCTCGTTGGAATCAGTTGTATATCGATTTTTCCTTTCACCCAACCAGGGTTAGCTCACGTTTCCTCGAGTACTTAATTACGATGTAATTAATAGAACTTCGTGTCAAACGAATATAAACATGTATMTATATATRTATATATATATATATATATATATATATATATATATATATATATCAAAGTACTTACGAATTAATAAAACACGCACGAATCGTTCCAAGGTTTATGTCAATCGATCACAACCACTTTATCTGTATTTAAAACATTCATTTTTAAAGTCCTATTTACGAATAAATAAACGTATCTTTCTCAATAAAAATCGAATGAATAAAAATTCCTGTGGCGTGTTAATTCAAAAAGTATGTCTATCGGAATATATTCACTGGTTTATAAACAAATAAATCCTTCGTTTTGCAAACCCCCAAGTTCTACCTCGAATCTACATACCCTTTTCAGTTTCATGCTTCAACAGTTTCAATACATTTATTTTATTTCCCAATCCTCCCTCCCCCACTATCCTCAAACGTGAAAATATTTACACTCGAAAATGGCTATTTGATTTGATTAAGAACTTTTACAAATCCGGTTTGGGTATTTTGTTTTTTTCTTTTCTTGTTTTAGTTTTAAATCTAGAACAGTTGAAAGAATTTAATCGTTTTAAAATTTGGATTTAATCTTTTCGTGAATGTTAAAAATTTGAAAATACAAATAAAAAAAGAAAAAATGGTCCACCTTCACGGCCAAGTTACTTTAATTATGTAGAATATTCGTAGATTCTATCGATCAGTATACTTCCTATAAACAAGATTACCGTTCGTTTTGGGAAAATTCCTCGAGCACCGGACGTTCATGGATTTTCATGGAGCTATCTCTATGCAGATTGTCCAATCATCGTTGCACTAGACTGCTTTCGACATATATATATATATTTAGTTACTATATACGTATCTATTATATACATATATATGTACTAGATTCTGCATTCTGCATCACTGAACGTTAAGGGTAATTTCAAGATATACCACCATTACACGTTCATTCTTACATCGATTTTCTAAGTAAGCTTGTAAACTTATATATGTTAAAATATTAGTTTATTAATATATTAGTAGATTTTTCTATCAATTGACGATTGATGACTATAAGAAATCAATTTGAAAAAATTGCTTCAGGTAAGAATTTATCAAAGAAAAATGTATCGTGAGCCCATATTGAATCGGGTCAGGGTTTGAAAGCACAATTACTACAAATTTATTCAAAACCGGTTTAACAAATCTACACGTATATAATATTTCATACGTTATTTACATATGCTAAAATAAATTGTATAAAATTTTGTTAAATATGAAATATTGTATTGTGTGCAGATATCTTGAAGATATTATTTATGACAAACATGTAGATCATTTTCGAAGTTAGATAGAAAATCATATTGACTTTGATAGTGAACTTAGATGACAATTTTATAAATTCAACACGCGATAGGTTTCCTATATTACATCGGGGGCGTAACTTTAAATTCGTACCAGTTAACACCTACTGGGATATATATGAACGTAATGTGACGAGAAATGATAATATGACTTATGCATATCTATATGGTATATTAGAATGAATATATTAGTTTATTCTTCTAATAATATTTCGAGAACGAGTTGGATGTTATGAATATTTTATCGCTAAATCTTTACGTGATTTGATTTTATTATACAATAAATTATGTAATATACTATTTGCATTTCTTTTCGAGTGGTTTCTTAGAATGCAAAAAAAAAGAAAAGAAAATTGTTAAAAGAAAGACTTGTATTTATTCAATTAACATTTCTTCTAATAAATAGTAAATGTGGATCATTACATTTTGATGCAAATGATACATACAATTTTTATTTTTGCATGCACGTGCTGTTTCAGAATTAAAAACAAAATGAAATTAATCGTATAATTAAAATTGGATCGTTGGTTAAAAATGTTGAAATATATTACAAAAAACAGTTCGTTAAGTTAATTACCATAGTTAGATATCGATCATACTCTGTTAAATTTACATTTTATTTCTATTTTCAGTGATACCACAGAAAGTTCGCGTGACTATAATTAAAATAACAATATTTTACCTTTATTAACATTTGTTCATTTTATCTTGTTTTATTTCTTATTTTTTTACGTTCTTTTTTATAGCGCATCGATAAAGTTATTAACTTTACTTTTCGACTTTCCCAGTTTTTGATTCAATGATTTAATAAGAGGAGAAAAAAGTTCTAGACCACTATTTTCAATTAACTTAATAATACTATTTTCGAAAAAACGTGAAAGCGCTCTAGCCAAAATATTCAGTATAGGATCGGATTTATTACCTTGAATTTTCAAATTGAACGAGCTGAAAAATAAAATGAATTAATAGTAAAAAATTTGAAAGAAATAAAAAATCAATGATATTTTCACACACTTATATGCATTTTAATTTCAATTAGACGTTAACGTTTCAATGTTATTAAATAAAAAAGAAAACATTCGAGAATGTCAGATGTAATGCAAGATCGTTGACATCGAATTTAAAAAAAAAACACTCAAGCATCTTATGTAATAACTTATCAAATAGATTTATAATCGACTAAGATTAAATTCCACTTTATTGTATTTTATTATTATTATTTTTTTTTTACACTAATACGCTCATTTTCATTTTGGAATAATATGATTTCATCTATCGTTCAAATTCAAACAAAAACTCTATTTTATCTTTGACTCGATCAAACAGTTCGATTATGAATTTGTTCATGGACAAATAGAAATATAAAAATACAAAAAAAATAATATTTATCTTATCTTCGATCATTCGTTTAAATATTATTTATCAATAATTGATTGCTACTTTAGTAATCGATTTTTTGCATTGTCTCTCGAGATTCTCTTTAAGCCTTGACATAAATCATTAGCAATGAAGAGAATTAAATGGAAAAGTAAAAAGAAGAAAAACAAAAGTATTAATAAAATAATAATAATAATTACCTTATACTGAGGATTTTTAATTCTTGAAGTGTTATATGGTAATTTTCAAGATTCATCTGTAATTTAATATTAAATTCGGCATCATCGATACGACCGTAAAATTCTCCTCGTCTTTTAATAAACATATGAGTTAAATAGAAATCGTAATTCATCTGTAAAAAAAAAAAAAAAATAATCGTTGAGTTTGTTATTTGGATGATATTAATTTAGAAAGAAAGAAAACAAATAAATAAACAAATTTTCTTACACTCAACAATTGCCATCTTAAAGGTAGATTAAAAAATAGATTCTTGTTTTTATATTGCATTGTTACATTTTTTGATCGTCTTATGTCCGTCATGTAATGTAAATATCCATTTTTAAGAGTGACCTTTGCTTTCAGTGCACCCGGCTAAAATAATGGTTTAACGAATAGTATATATATGTATAGATATTTATCGTTTTTTTTATTTTTTTATCTTTATCTAATTTTTTATTTAATTTTTTTTTTTATAATTACGTACGAATTCTATAATTTCTTCATTAAGATTTGGAAGAATAGTTGGTTCCAAGCCTTTAGAAACTAAAATGTCACGAATTTTCGGCAAGATTTGATCGAAAATTTTGTTTATGTTCACCAACGATACATCGTATTTCGAATCTTGACTGAATAAAATAAAATAAGATTAATAAAAAAAAAAATCACAGATTTATCTATAAATATTTATTAGATGGTTTTATTTATTCTTTTTTAATTTAAATTTGTGACTAAAACTAAACAATTTGGAAGGAAAGAAAAATTATTTAAAACAAAAATGAAACAATAAATGAATAATAAAATCAAATGCTATTATTTTTTTTTTTTTTTTAATAAATATCTCACCTAAAATTTTCCAAATTATATTGATCCAACTCGGACGTAATCCAAGAATCCTCTAAATTTCCAGAACAGAATGTAACAAAGAGTATTACAAAACAAAATGAACATTTTTGTAGAATCATTTTGACAGACTGAATTAAATATAAGAATCGATCTGACAATGTGAATTCTATCAATGATCGTACCAGTTTTATTGATTATGTTAAGTATTATCGTTTTCAGCTTATCAGAATTCTTGACTTAACAATTGATAACAACTTTGTTTTTCTATTATATTCATTTTATTTTTTTTATTCAAATCGTTCTATTATTATTATTACTTTGAATACTGAACTAATCAATAAATTTCATACATTGTTACATGCAATAATAAACTAATCAAACACCGTCTTAAAAACTATTTTATGATTTATAATTCTTCAATGATCCACACTTATATTTTTGTTAAACAATAAAATCTTTGAAGTTGATAAATAAATACAAAAATAAATCAAATGTTTATTCTAATATTAAATAATTATATAAAAAAAAAAAAACAGATGTGTGCAGATCACATACGATAGAAGTGAAACCTTCAAAGGAAACCAAGCTTGGAGACGTGAATATATCGAAACAATTGAATTGTAATACAGCGCCATCTATTGAAAGAACCTTACAGAACTTAGATAATTTCTAAATAAAAATCTTTAAATTAGTAATAAAAAATAATAATAAAAAAAAAATCGCGATAAAAATTGTGCTATGTGCTAAGTTGGAAAAAATCACGTGAAATAAAATAAATTTCGTTAAAATAAGTTGAGTAGTTTCGGAATTATTAGTGGACAAACATATTGTTACATTGAATTTTTATATATAGAATTTATTAATTAATTAATTAATATATAGAATTAAATAATATAGAATTAAATATACAGAGAATTATATAGAAATTATATATATATATATATGTATATGTGAGTTCGCT